TGGGACCAGGAGGGGTGTCTGCCTCCGTCACCCAGCGCCTGCCCTGCTCCTTGGCTGGGACCAGGAGGGGTGTCTGCCTCCGTCACCCAGCGCCTACCCTGCTCCTTGGCTGGGACCAGGAGGAGAGTTTGCCCCACCCCCACCGCCCACCCCCATGCTTCCTGTCTCCAGCTCCCTGAAGACGTGAAGCCACCCTGACAGCCCACCTGCAGGCACAGAGGAACTCTGACCCAACCCCACTTGTCCCACAGCCACCTCTGCTCCTCTGCCCTGTTGCCTGGCCTTTAGTCCCCAGCCTGGTGGGGCTCCTGGCCCTTAGACCCTCACACCACGTCTGCCCCCTTTGATGACGATTTCTTCTCGCACAACTTCGTTTCCTTACGCATTTAACACTAGTGCGCATCTGCTCTCCCCCGGGTGCTGGTGTAGGGTGTCAGCCGGGTGAGCCCTGGTGCGCCTGAGCCCCACTATTCCTGAAGAGAATTTCCATTGGAGGGGTTCGTACAGGAAAGCGCGCATCTCGTTGACTTGTCCCCGAGTGAGCCCACCGTGGGGCTGCTCTCAGATCCCAAACAGGCACTCCCACACCCGAGGCTGCCTGCCCTGGCCTGAACGTGCTGTGAGCGGGACCACCCGGCACACCCTCTGCTGTGTGAGATGCGTCTGTGTCGCGCCCAGTGCTGCTGCTTCGTGCGGCGGTGTCTTCATTACGTCTCTGTCCCGTTGAGGGTGGGGAGATTTGAGTTTGATCATGGGGCAGCCTGTATGTCATGCAGCCCTACTCTGAATCTGGGGGACCACATCCAGCTGTGTGACCTGGCATGTGCCTGACCTCTCTTAGTCTCAGTGACCGTGTCTGTGAGGTGGGAACAATGACCCCCCACCTGAGGGTCAGCAAGGTCCGGGGTGAAGGTGAATGTGGGACACCCCTTGGCTTGAGCCGGACCCGCCGGTGCGTCCCGGTACCCTGCCATCACCTGTGCACGTGGGCTCTGGGCAAGGCCCGCTCCAGCTCGTGGACGTTCTGTTCACGGTTTGCCCCGGGTCCAGTGCCGACCGCTTGTGTACTTCACTCCCGGCTGTGATGGTGGGCCACAGCCTGGCGCTCTTCCTGTGTCCCTGGGCAGCCTTGTGCTCAGCTGAGGGCCTGCTGGACCTAAAGTTGCCGGGCCTGGCAGGTGAAAGAAAGTCTGCCCTGAGCAGGGTCCTCACGGGAGGGGTGTGTACACGCTTGTCTGCGTGTGGGTATGTCTGTGTAACTGGTGTGTCTGTGTGCCTGTATCTTTGTAACGGGGTGTCTGTATGTGTGTCTGTGTGTTTGCTTATCTGCGTGTGTCTGTAACTGACCTGTATCTGTACAGGTCTCCATGTGTAACAGGTGACTTGGGTTTGTGCACGTGTGCATGTGCGTGGATTTGCAGGTCTGTAACGTGTGTGTGTGTAACTGGCCTGTGTCTCTGTCTGCATGCATGTAACCGCCCGTGTGTCTGCCCAGGCCTTCCGGAGCAGTACTACAGCCTCACCTGGTTCCTGAGCCCCATCCTCGGCCTCATGTTCACCCCGCTCATCGGCTCGGCCAGCGACCGCTGCACCCTGAGCTGGGGCCGCCGGCGGCCTTTCATCCTGGCGCTCTGCGTCGGAGTCCTGTTCGGCGTCGCGCTTTTCCTCAACGGCTCGGCCATAGGTGAGTGTCCCCCCGCCGCACGTCCGCTGCGACTCGGCGAGGCCCGGCTGTCGCTAGCGGAACACGTGCGCCCTCACATCACCCAGACTGGCTCCTGGGAGCTGCCGGCTGCCCAGCCCCCGACTCAGGAAGGGCCAGGGTCGTCTGCCCTGCCTAGCAGGCTGCCGGTCGGCAGTGCCAAGCCAGCCCCGCGTGGGAGAGCCGCGGGAACCTGTTCACAGGGAAGAGCTTCCTGTTTGGCTCCGGCTGTTTCAGGCCTATCTGACACCACGTCCTGTTTCCAGCAATTTTCCAGAAATTATCTGTGCTCCCTTCCCCCCTTCGCAGGCGTGGTGTTATTGAAAACGTCCAGAGCCTGCTCTGATTCTTGGTTGGCTCACGTGCGTCTGTTGTGTTGTGCCTTCTCTGCTGTTTTAACTAAAGCAGCGGCACGTGGGAAAGTCACTTTTGCCGTGGGGGTGCCTGACAGAGCTGTGGAGCGTAAAGCCTGGTTTTCTGGCCACAGCTTGGGGGCCAGGAATGCGAGGCTGTTCAGGAGGGGAAGCCTCAGAAAGCCTCGTGGGCATAGCGGGAGCTGAGCTGCTCGGAGCCTTGGGGGCCCTGTGGAGGCGGGGCTGTGGCCTGGACTCGGGGCCTGGCCCCAGCACTCCATCTTCTGCGCCGACACCCCTCTCCCTGTGCTGTACCCCCTCTGCAGGGCGGCCTCTCCAGGAGGGCCACCTCCCAGTGCAGACGGCCAGCTTCTCTTGTGGGCACCTGCTGGGCACAGTGCCATTGACCCTCACAGCCGCTTCACCCCACGAGTAGCCATCACTGCCCCCGTTTGCACCGAAGAAAACAGAGGTTCAGAGAAGATGTGTCTTGTCAAGGCTGTGTCCTGGGGGTGGTCCCGCCCAATTAGGACTCCAGGGGCGCCAGCCGAGAGGGCAGCGGGGAGCACCCAGGTGGAGCCCCTCTTCTGGCCTGCCTCCTGCAGGAAGGTTCCCTGTGTTGTGACCGAAGGCCAGCTGGGGGCTTGGGGGCAGGGCTGGGCCCAATGTCTCTGCCTGCGGGCGCACCTGGTCGCGGTGTGGTAAACTAAGGCCCTAGGCAGCAACCTGATCCTGGTGTAGGCGGGCTCGTTCAGGCAGGTGAGGTGTGGTGTGTGCGTAGGTGTCGCTGTTGGCACTGAGACCCGCTGTACCTCCCGTGTGTGTAGCGGAGACTGCCTGCCGCCCTCTGCAGAGCTGAGGTTCTCTGGAGCCCGCAGAGTTCCGTAAGCACTGCCCAGAGCCGCTGTGGTATTCCTGGCGTTACTTCATTCCAGAGCCAGGGCCCCTCCAGCACTGCAGTCAGCCCTGGGTCTTAGGCAGGCACTTAGGTGTCATCTGTTCACACGCCAACAGGGGTGTTGGCCTTCGAGATGAATTCTTGTTTAAAGAAGAGCAAGCGCGTGCTGACCGCACAGCATTGTCCTGAGACAGGCTCAAGTGCAGCAACCTCGGTACTGCTCAGGCCCCCAGAGGTCACTGTGACAGCCGGTGGACAGGGCCGGGCTCTCAGCAGACCCCTGCTGAGACGGGACAGCCACCCCTGTGCTGACCCCTACTCACAGACCTAGGGGGCACGTGCAGACCCTAGGGGTGGGCACACAGCCCCCTCCTCACAGATGCAGGGGCATGTGCAGACCCTGGGGGCGGGCATGCAGCCCCCTCCTCATAGACCCAGTGGGCACTTGCAGACCCTGGGGGCGGGCACGCAGCCTCCCTTGTGCAGATGCACAGACTCTGTGCATCTTCTCTTCTAGCTGACGCCAAGTCCCCACCACAGCTGGGACAGGAAGGGCCATGTCCCCTCTCAGTTACAGGCTGGAAAGGGCCAGCTCTGTGAGGGTCCGTGAACATCTCATATAAGCGGGGGACGCGTAGCCCTGCAGACAGCAAAGCAGAACAAACCCAGATGCGCTTTCTCCCCATGCATCTAGGCCCCAGAGCAGAAGGCGACTTTGGCTGCGAGGGGAACGATTGTGTGTCCCCCTCCCCGGTCACCATTTGCTCTCAGGAGCCTGGGTGGACCAGGCTCTGAGACACACCTATCCTATGCCCCGCCAGGTCTGTCCCTCGGCGATGTCCCCGGCCGGCAGCCCATTGGCATTGTCCTGACGGTGCTGGGGGTGGTGGTCCTGGATTTCAGTGCTGACGCCACGGAGGGGCCCATCCGCGCCTACCTGCTGGATGTGGTGGACAGTGAGGAGCAGGACATGGCCCTCAACATCCATGCTTTCTCTGCTGGTAAGACACGCCTTCTGCACCAGCACACACCGGGGCCGGCCCCCTGCCCATGCTGAGACCCCCTGGCCCCGTTTGGTCGTTGGCACAAGTTAGGGGTTGTGAGCACAGCCTGACCTTGTGGCTTCTGTCAGAGTGGGTGTCTTGCATCGAGCCACGTGGGGCCACATCAGTCGCTGGCCAACCGAGGCCATTAGAAAGGATGTCAGAGCTGTAGCGTCTCGGAGCTAGGAGGTGACCTTGGGTGTCCCTTTCTATTGTTGGGCCCAGCAGGACCGAGTGTGGGACCTGGGACGGGGAGAGGCCAGGCTGGTTGGGGGTGGGGCATGTGGTCACCTCTGTACCCCCAGCTGCGGGCAGTCTTCCACGTCTGCCAGGAGGATGGCGCCTGTTGAGTGTAGGGATATCGTTGAGTGCAGACAGGAGGCACAGGGCGTCCTCAGGCTTCCAGTCCTCACACTGAGCCTCGTGTTAGTTTATCGAGCAGAAATCCTGGCAGAGAAGCCTTCCCACATGCTAACCTAACACGTGTGTCCTGATTGGTTGTGTAGCTATGACAGGAGTGGATACCACCCTCCTGCAGGTGGTCTCCGGGCCTTCCCAGCATGCTCCCTGCCCCGAGCCAGAGCCTGCCCCCCACAGGGTGTCTGCATCCTGCCCTCATCCCCCACTCTTCTGTCGCCACAGGCCTCGGGGGTGCCGTCGGCTATGTGCTGGGCGGCCTGGACTGGACCCAGACCTTCCTGGGCTCCTGGTTCCGGACGCAGAACCAAGTACTGTTCTTCTTTGCGGCCATCGTGTTCACCGTGTCGGTGGCCCTCCACCTCTTCAGCATCGAGGAGGAGCAGTACAGCCCCCAGCAGGAGCGCGGCGCTGACGAGACTGAAGCCCTGCCGCCCCGCGCCAGCACCTCGGATGGCAGTGGGCAGTACGGTGTGGCACTGTACCCAGACGAGGTGCAGTCGGAGCATGAGCTGCCCCTGGACTATCTGGATGTGGACATCGTGCGGAGCAAGAGTGACTCAGTGCTGCATGTGCCGGATGCGGCACTGGACGTGGAGCCCCCTGAGCTCTTCCTGCACGACATCGAACCCTCCATCTTCCACGATGCCTCCTACCCCAGCACGCCGCGCAGCACCAGCCAGGAGCTCACCAAGGCCCGGCTGCCCCGCCTGCCCACCTTCCTCAGGGACGGCGCCCAGGAGGACGCCATGCTGCTCAACCACCACGTGGATGAGGCCAAGGTCCCCAATGGCAGTGGCTCCCCACCGAGGGATGGCCTCAGTAGCTACCCCTGCCTTGACCTAAAGCCCTCGGCCGCATCGGGCTCCATGCGCCGCCGGCGGCACGTGTTCCGCCGGCAAGCCCCCAGCACCTTCTCCTACTATGGCAAGGTCGGCTCCCACCACTACCGGTTCCGGCGCGCCAATGCGGTGGTGCTTATCAAGTCCTCCCGCAGTATGAACGACCTATACGACCTGCAGAAGCGGCAGCGGCAGCGGGGCCGCCACCGCAACCAGAGCGGTGCCACCACGTCCAGCGGGGACACGGAGAGTGAGGAGGGCGAGGCTGAGACGACGGTGCGCCTGCTCTGGCTGTCCATGCTGAAGATGCCCCCGGAGCTGATGCGCCTCTGCCTCTGCCACCTGCTCACCTGGTTCTCTGTCATTGCTGAGGCAGTCTTCTATACCGACTTCATGGGCCAGGTCATCTTCGAAGGCGACCCTAAGGTGAGCGCGCCCGCCAGGCCTCACCACCACCACTGTGAGTGGAGAGGGGGCGCTTCCTGCCCCAGCCAGACTCTCTCAGGAGGACTGTAAGGGTGAGAGGAGGCTGGGGAGGAGCATGGAGCTTCCACACCTGCCACAAGCCTCGGGTCCACGCAGCATGGGGTGCTGCCCTGCAGGGCTGGGGGGCATGGAGGTAGCCACCTGCACAGGCCTGTGTTAGTGTGGTCAGGATATCACGCGAGCCTGGATGAGGCTCTGACCCTGGTCTGCGCTGAGCTGTCTTGAATGTTAAGGGCTTTCATGAGGTGAAGTCTGCAGTGAGATATGGCTTCAGTTACCTGTCATTAGGGCTAGACTCTCGCGAACCTTAGTGGCTTATGGCACTGATTGATTTCATCCATGGCTGAGCCAGGTGGGGTGTATCTTCCGCTCTCCAGCGTATCAGCAGGGCTCACACTGGGGCAGCATTTGTCCGGCTGGGTGGCCCGAGGCAGCCTCACTCATGTGCTCAGGCTCCTCACTTCCATGCGGCCTGGCGCCTCTCGGGGTCTGGTTTGAGCTGCTCTGCAGAGCGCCAGGCTCCCAGAGGGAAAAGCACAAGCTGTGAGTCCTCTTACAGCACAGCCTGAAAGAAAGCGCCACTTTTGCTGCATGCTCGTGGTCGTGCACAGCAAGACCTGGCCATCCCAGACTAGGGAGGGATGGAGTCCCCCTACAAAAGGCTGGGGGTCGGTGCAGAGGTCTCTAAAAAGGGTTTACCACAGATACGGACCTGGGCTGGTGGCTGATGGCCTTTGTCAGCATAGTTACCATCCCCTTTTAAGAACAACAGCTCACCTCCCTTCCACTGAAATAGAAAATGCCCTCCTGTGCCCAGAGGGTGCAGCACAGTGTCCCCACCCTCCTGAAATCCCACCTGTGTTTCTGGAACAGGCGCCCTCGAACTCAACGTCCTGGCAAGCCTACAATGACGGGGTAAAGATGGGCTGCTGGGGCCTGGTCATCTATGCTGCTACCGGTGCTATTTGCTCAGGTGAGTGTCCCTGGTTCAAGGGACAGCTGCGCCCGACAGAGTCTGGGCCTGGAGGTAGGATTCCTGGAGGAGTCGGCAGGTGGGGCGCTGCTGCGGGGGTGCGTGCCATTGTTACCGGCTCTCCCTGTGCCTACCCCCTGCAGCTCTGCTACAGAAGTACCTGGACAACTATGACCTGAGCATCAGGGTGATCTACGTGCTGGGGACGCTGGGCTTCTCTGTTGGCACGGCCGTGATGGCCATGTTCGCCAATGTCTACGTCGCCATGATCATGATCAGCACCATGGGTATCGTCTCCATGAGCATCTCCTACTGCCCCTACGCCCTCCTGGGCCAGTACCATGAGATCAAGCAGGTGGGCCGGGCGGGGTGGGGTGGGGCCAGTACCATGAGACCAAGCAGGTTGGTGGGGGGCAGGGTGGAGCTGGGCTGGTACCACAAGACCAAGTGAGGGGGAGTCAGGGCAGAGCTGGGCCAGTACCATAACACTAAGGTGGGGGACGCGGGGTGGAGCTGGGGCAGTACCATAACACCAAACAGGTTGGCGGGGGGGCAGCGGAGCTGGGCCAGGACCACGAGATCGAGCTGGTGTTGGAGCGGGGCAGGGCAGGGCTGACCTCAGGGCACTGGCCACCCAGGGTCCTTCCCGTGGCATCCCAGCCCACCCAGTAGCTGCCCGAGTCTTCTGGGTTGTGTTTGTGGAGGGGAGCAGGGGAGGGAGGGATGCGCTAGACCAGAGCTGTGCAGCAGAACAGAGTGCGCCCCGCGGGGCGCCCCGGTGCGCCTTTCCTAGTAAACACACTTAAAAGTGAAAAAGCAGGGGAAGGTAACTTTAATAGTAATTGGGCTTAATCCGGAATACCCCAAATATGACTATTTCTGCACATGGTCAGTATAGAAAACTACTGGTGTGTTACCCTGGGGCTGTCTCTGAACTCTGGGACGTCTGTTACACATGGGCGCCTCTCACTCAGACCAGCCCAGCCTCAGGCGTGCTGTAGCCGCAGGCAGGTATGGACCGTGGCTGTCAGACTGCCCTAGGGCCCCTCCTAGAGGGAAAGGAAGAAAACCTAAAAGCTTATGCCTCTTTTCTTCTTAAACTTAAACCGTGTTTAATTTTCTCATCTCTTGCACAGTTATCAAAGCAAAGCAGATTTACCCATTAGCTGCGTGCCAGATACAACAGTGATGAAAATCCAACAGCCTGGTTTAAAGTAAACTTGTTAATGACATGAATACAGAAAAGCACACAGATCTGAAGAAAGTAGCTTAGTGTAGAGCCCAGTGCAGACCCAGAACCTTCTAGAGCCCCCCACCCCCACCCCTCACTTCCCTAAAGGGGTCCTGTCTTCACTCCCAATCCCAGTGACCCGCTTTGCCTGGTCCTGTGGTTTCAGAGGATCTGACTTCTTTCACGTCATGTCTGCGATCTGTCCGCACACTGCCTCCTTCATGCTCGTGGCTGCTGTCTGCTGTGCTCCTGTCTGTGCTCCTGGGGGGCGGGGGGCTGCACAGATGCGCTTGCCTGGCACTGGGAGTGTGCCAGGGAGCCGCAGAAACGCGGGTCTCAGCTTTGGTGCCTGCTGCCAGCCCTCCGGAGCAGGTATGTCCCTCTGCACTGCTACCAGCAGCCTGCCGGATGTGAAGTAGTGCTTCCTTGTGGCTCCAGTGGGTTTCCCTGTTTGCTGATGCAGCTGCGAACCTTTGTCATCTGGTTACTGGTCGCTGGGGTATTTCCTTCTGCGAGGTACCTGTTTTAAGTACGCTGCCCATTTTTCTGGTGGGCTGTCTTTCTCTCGCTGATTTGTGCCAGTTCTTCATTCTGGAACCTGAGGTTCGTGTGTGTATCGTTGCCCGTATTTTCTCCCGCCCCGTGGTTTTCGTCTTCACCCCCTTCAAAAGGGTTTGGGTCCAGAGACCAAAGTTTCTCAGTGGTTACCAGGGGCAGGAGGGAGTGGGAAACGGGGGTTATTGCTTATGGAGCACTGAGTTTTGGTTTACGGTGATAGGAAAATCACGTTCGTTAAGGGTAGGGTTGCACAGCCGATTCTTGTCATTGCTGTCGATAAATTGTACGCTCGTAAAAAGTTGAATTGGTGATAGATGTATTTACAACATCAACGCATGCACAGAGTAGCCGCTGAGGCTGCTTACGTATAACCCAACACCTCATGGGATTTGGTTCCTTGGTTTGGAGGTTTAGGTGATGGTTTCATGGGACATCCCTGTTGACTGGCCTGATACCGTGTTTGGCGCTTCTGTTCTGCCTCCTAGTTTGCTGTGTTCGGCTGTCCTGGCAGTTAACTTATTTGAGGTTGTTGTTAGGTGTACATACACGTTTTGGGGGGTTTTACTTTTTATACATATTTTCTAAAATATCTTGTGTGTTTTCAGTGAAAGTTTACACAGCAGTTTAGGTTCCCGTTCAACAATTTCTATGTAAATTGGTCAGTGACATTGGTTAGGTTCTTCACAATGTACGAACATTCTCCGAATTTCTGTTCTGGTTGTTCCTTTTTTATATTCGTGGTGAATTGGTTCTTTTTAAAATATTTCTGGAGTACTGGCTCCTCTATTAAAGAAGACTGTGTTTAACAAACCCTGCATCTGACAGGAGCTTAGCCACACCGGTTTTCTTCTGGATCTTTTTTCAGAAACAAAAAGGGAGATGCACACTGTTCCCATTGGCCTGGCCCACTGTGTCACACATGGTCGCCGTAACACATGGTTACAGCGCTGCTCCAAACAGCCCCCTGCCACAAACCCGGCCCCAGCTGGAGCCTCTCAGGGCCTGGAGGGTCCTGCAGCCCTGGAGGCCGGCCCGGAGCCTGTTTCCCTTTTGGGTTGTTGAGGTTGCTCCCTCTCCCGGGAGCTAGAATTTTCCACCTCCCTTGCCCCCACGGCGCCGGGCAGGGGGTGGGAAGGAACTCAGGCAGGGGTGGTGGCTGGAAGCCCAGGGGGAGAGCTGTGTTTCCGGGACACACCTGTGCGTTGCGATGTTGCGTGGCTGTGTCCCCTGCCCGCCTCACACCCCCGTCGTCTTCTCTTGCAGTACGTCCACCACAGCCCCGGGAACTCCAGGCGCGGCTTCGGCATTGACTGTGCCATCCTCTCCTGCCAGGTCTACATCTCCCAGATCCTGGTAGCGTCAGCGCTGGGGAGCGTGGTGGATGCTGTGGGCACCGTCCGCGTCATCCCCATGGTGGCCTCCGTGGGCTCTTTCCTGGGCTTCCTGACGGCCACGTTCATGGTGATCTACCCCGACGTGTCCGAGGAGGCCAAGGAGGAGCAGAGGGGCCTGTCGGCCCAGCCGGCCAGCGATGGCACCGCGAAGCCCATGGTCCTGAAACTCTCGCGGAAAGAGGGCCCCCAGGGACCAGTGGAGACAGAGTCCGTGGTCTGAGCAGCACCCCATTCACACACATTCCATGCGGGCAGGCTGGCGGGCCGGGAGTGGGGAGACGGAGCAGGATGGACGCAGCCACCGAGGAGCCACCCGCACATGTGGGGAAGCACGGAGCTGTAGGGTAGGTTCTGGCCACTAGGCAGAAATCCCACACTATAAATACTTTTTCCACAATTAAAAAAAAAAATCATTTGAAGTATTTTTTAAATTGAAAAAGGCCTTTTAATTTCAACTTCTGTGTTCTGTCCTGCAGGTGTATTATCTGCGTGGTTTTAAATTACAAAGCAGATTTACAGCATAAACAGTGAGCACTGTAGGAAGGAAGACTTTGCGTTCCTTAGATGGCAATTGGAAACGTAGCCAACCTGCCTCCCTTCGCTGTGTCCTACCTGAGTACTTCAGGTTAACAGCCAGGCCGGCAGTGACTAAAACATTTCCGTCAGATTTTCCTCCACAGATGCCCACAGGTATTTAGACGTTCAGTCAGCTCTCGCCACGTTTTGTTGGTGCTGCAACCGTTAGAAAGTATTTTTCTTTGATTATTCTAGGAAAAACGTTTTTTTCCAAAGCTGTGGTTTTCTTAGAAGAACAGCATCTCTTCTTTTCTCCCACAGTCTGGCGAGTCGTGCACGGGCTGCCCTTACCCAGGCCGGGGGCGGTGGTGTCGGCCGCAAACCAGGGTCACGGGGGGGAGGCAGGGCCCCAGTGGATCTCGTGGGTGGAGAACGGCTGCCGGTGTGCGGGGAGAGGGCGTTTCCAACAAGCAGCTTTGCCCCTTCGTGCCTGCAAGTGTGTGAGCGTGTATGAGCGTGCGTGCGAACGTATGTGTGTAGGTATGTGTGTCTGTCCCGCCACCTGCCCAAGGTCATCTCCATGTGAGGCACCCTCCAAGGAGGCCAGCCAGGCACCGCCTCCAGCCTGTTTCTCGGAGCAGACAGCCCTGTCTGGGGAAGGAACGTGTTGACTCTAATTGCACTTTTAGCCCTTTTAAGACCGTTTGAGGGGAAATCATGAGAGCAGAGCTCCTGGCACAGCACTGCCCTTGAATGTCACGCCGCAAAGGCCTACCTCGGGGTGGGGGCAGCCGGCCTGCTGCAGGGGGCTTGGGCTCGGCCCCAGAGAGCAGGCGAGTGCAGAGGGCCTCTCCCTGGCAGTCGGGGGGCGCACTGGAGCCCTTCTGGACTCTCCCGATGTCTGCGGCTGCCCACCCGCTCACCACTGCTGGGATCGGGGCTGCCGTGAGCTCCCGGGGGCGCCCCTCACCTGGCGGCCCCTTTCGCAATATTTCTGGTCTCATCACGGAGCAGACCTGGACCTCGTGGGAGCACCGTCATCGCCTGCTGCTGCTACGTGGAAGGAACTGTTTTCAAACCACAATCTCTGAGCAGTGGACGCCGTCAGCTGAGGCGGTCAGTCTAGGCTCCCGGGTTCAGGAGCGGAGGAGGCCGCCTGCACATCCCAGCGAGTCCGTGAAGACTGCCCTCACACTTCCGCTGCCTCAACTCGGTGTTTTTTAAATAAGAACTTTAAAGTGCATGGGAATCATGCTGCAATATGATCGTTCTAAAGCAAATATATATTTCAAGATGAAACGAAGCTGTTTTTAAATAAATTACTTGAATTTTCTGTGTATTTAAAAGGACTGTGTCTAATGTACCAAGCCCATCTGGCCCTGCCGCAGCTGTTGGCTAGGGGGTGGTTTGCAGCTCGCGTTCGCTTGCGTCCAAGTAGCTGTTGGGGTCTGGTGCCTTCCCCTGGGGCTTCATGGGGCCGGCCTCCAGGCAGAGGGGAGCTGTGTGTCTGAGCTGGGGCTCAGGTGGCACTGGGACATCCCCATCGGCTAGACCCGACACCCTAACAGACTGCTTGGTGCTCTTTGCTGGCCTCAGGGTGGTGGAGCCTGCTCTCTGAGCCGTGTGGTAGCTGGGCTTGTCCTGCCCTCGGAAGCCCCCATCCCCATGCCCCAGAACTGAGGTAGAGGCGGAGTAGAGGGGGTGGGGCGGAACCCCGGCATCTTCCCCGCTTGCTTGTCAAAAGCCAGCTAGGCGCCAGTGTCCTGTGGTCCTGGATGCTGGGGCCCGATGGGTGTGTGTGTGTGGGGGTGGGTGTGTGCGTGCCCGTAGGAGGCCCCAGGCCTGGCTTGTGACTTGATTTTAGGGAAAAAGGGGCTGGGCCTCTCCCCATATGGTGGGGCCGCCATCTGCATAGTGAGTTAACCCTTGAGGTTCTGGCCCTGAACCGGAACGTGATCTGAAAAGGATCACCCAACAGAAGACGGGTGTTTCCTGCAGGCCTTGCTGAGGTCTGTGCTGGGGGTGGGGGGGGTGCTGCACGTGGTAGGTTTATGAAGCCTTGAGCCCTGTCGAGTGTTCACAACCAAAGCCTGCCGGGCTGTGTCAGCCCCGTCGGTTTGCGGACCAGGAGGGCGATGTGTCTCGGTTTGCGTCAGAAAGGATGGGTGTCAGTTCTAACCTAATGACCTGGAGCCCCCACCCCTCCCACCACGGGGTGACTTCATGACAGCACCGACGTGAGCCAGCCGTGTCCCCGCTTGTGTCTTCAGGAGCGGAAGGGGTGCTGGGCGCTACACTGCACAGCTGTGTGGCGCGCCCTCGGAACGCGTGTGTGTGGACGCGTGCGCGCCTGAGCTCACACTGTCCCTCGGAGATACAGAGGGCAGCCGTGGGAACGCTGGGCGTGTCCCCACGAGTCAGGCTGTGCTCTGGTGACTTGGGATGCGGTGCTCAGTGAGGGGACCTGTGGGCCCACCGGCTGGCCGGGCACCGTTGACCGGCACTGCTTGGGGCTGTGCAGTTGGGGGCCGTGACGGCTGGGAGTGGAGGAGGCAGGCGGGGCAGGGCTTTAGCTGGCCGGGAGCAGAGCGGGCAGGCCAGGCAGGGCTTTAGCTGGCCGGGAGCAGAGCAGGCAGGCCGGGCAGGGCTTTAGCTGGCCGGGAGCAGAGCGGGCAGGCTGGGCAGGGCTTTAGCTGGCCGGGAGCAGAGCGGGCAGGCTGGGCAGGGCTTTAGCTGGCCGGGAGCAGAGCCGGCAGGCTGGGCAGGGCTTTAGCTGGCTGAGTGCCGTGTTGTATAAATAGACCAACTACTAAAATAGGGCAGCATCTGTCTGCTTTGCGTTTTTTCCTTTGTAAAGGTCAACCCAGTACAGGACCTTCTAGAGAGATGTGCCACTGCAGAGCCCCTGCTGTGCAGGGGTGTCGGCCAATGGGAGGAGCAGAGGAGGGTGCGGTGGTGGGCAGGTTATCCACCTCTGTTGGCAAAGTGGCACCGTGATGGTCAAGTGCAGCTGAGAGCTGGTGGCAGGAAATTCATCCCAGTTTTCAGGTGTAGGGCAGGGTCGCAGCCGGGGCAGGACACACCCCTGGGGGGCCGGACCTTGGCACTGGGAGGGGGTGCAGGGCAGCTGGCTCTCCTCACTTGGTCAGTGGCTTCAGACAGACCACCAGAATCCCCGAGGGGGCCTTTGTGAGGGGCTGCAGGGGGCAGGAGCCAGCAGGGCCTCCCCTCCAGCACCAGGGGTACACAGGCCTGGTGACCCGTGCTGTGCGTGTGACATGTTCAAACATATTCTGACACTGAGCGTCCTCTCTGTATTGACGGGTGATGCAGCAGCCAGAGACAGCAGAAAACAGCCAACCGCGGGAAGGGCACCCAGGTGTCCTTATGCGTCGGCCTGTCTTTAGCCACCCAAACTGTGAGTGTGCAGGTTGTCACCCTTGCAGATGGGTGCTTCTGCAGCGTCCCAGAAGTATTTAGTTCCATTGTGAACTGGCCACAGGACAACTTTTTTATCAACTTAGTAAGTTGGAGCACTGTAATAGCTCTTGCTGATTTTAGCAACGATATAAATGTGTGTTAAACACATAATGTTAAGTTTTATGAGGAGCAAGAGATTATAAAGAAGAGTAACGTTGCATATGACTTCATTTTTTATGAGGTGAACAGAAGTGGCCTCGCGTCTGTTTCCACGCAGAGCCCTGGGTTTGCTTTTCTTTCTCCAATGACTGTTGCACGCCATGCTGGTTCCATTCAGTTTCTGTAACCTGATTTCCCATGGACAGACGCCCTGGGCTCAGACCCACGCCCCTGCAGCGTGTTACCTGTTATTCTGCATTGAACCTTAATAAACATCTCCCCATGAGATGACCGTATGGCGCGTCTGTGTCACTTCCTCGCAGCGCCCCCTGGAGCCTGGGTGGGGGAGGCAGGACCCACCCCAGCTGTGAACAGACAGGAGTTGGGTTAAGTTTCCCAAAACCTGTGAGCCCTCTCCTGAGCCCCTAGCCTCTCCAGGGCCGTTCCGCCTGTCTAGGGGTGGCGTAGCGGACAGAGAGGGTCTCAGGCCAAGCCAGCTGGGGTGAACCACCTAGCATGCTGTCTACACCCAGGAACCCCTTCCAGGCCCAGATCCAGAGACTGGAGTACTGGGTCACCTGTGGCTCCGAGCTGCAGGTCTGGCAGCCCTTCCCTTTGAAGGTCAGTCCTGTGGGGTGGAGAGAGTGCAGGGGCGGAAGACTCTCCATCAGACGCGTCAGGCCTGAGGCTTGGGTAGGGTGGAGGGCGCAGCACCAGACCTGGGCATTCATGCGCTGTGACTGCCTGGCGTCCTGGCCCCCGGGGGGAGGGTGATGGAGACCTGGCCGGTCCTGGTCCAGTGCACGAGGAGACCCAGGCTTGCCAGGGGCAGGGGACCTGGATACCCCAAAATTTCCCATCCAGAGGAGGGCACTGCCCACCAGGCAGTGTCACCACAATCACTGAGACATCACCCCCAGGACGAGATGTCACCCCTGGGATGGGGCCACAGTCAGGGCTGGGGAGCTGCCACCCACATGGCACAGCCACACACCTGACTGGAGACGGGTGTCAGCTCACCGCCCGGGGCTGCAGCTTCACCTGGCGCAGGTGCCCGGCCTGGGGGAGCTTGGCTGCCGGGGACGGACCTCGGCCTGCACCCGGCCCAGCCTCCCTCCTAGGACGCGCTGTGCAGCCACAGGCAAGGAATGGTGGGGAGCATCCGGGAGCCCTGATCCCGCCCCCGCTTGCACAGCTGTCAGAGCTTTTCTCCACGCATACGAATGTTAAACCTTTTTTATTTATTTTTTACCAGGAGGTTGCACCACGCGGTATAGTTTTGCACTCTACGTGTTTTCGTTCTTGTTGAGCAAAACATCTTGATCACTTCCCTTAGTACACACGGGTGTGCTGCACTCTGTTAATGGCTTCCTAGCATTCCAGGGTAAGACAGGTTAGGCTGGGTTTGGGGTCGGGGTGTAGAACACCCAATTGTCATGCACCACGCATGATGTATCCTGGAGAGTGGATTTTTTAAATTCCCCATTCCCCCCTCACCCCAGCCCCTGGTAACCACTAGTCTTTTATATCTTTTCATCTGCCTTTTCTAGATATTTCATGTAAGTGGGATCATAAAGATACTTGTGCTTTATGCCCAACTTATTCACTCAGCATAACGTTTTCAAAGTTCATCTGCGTTTGCAGCATATATCATGACTTCATCTCTCTGTGGCCAGAGAACATCGCATTGTCTGTATGTGCCACGTCGCGTTTATCTGTTCATCTGCTGGACGCGGGGCCGGTTTCCACCGTTTGGCAATTGTGAACGGGGCTGCAGTGAACGTTGGTGTACAAGTATCTGTTGGCGTCCCTGTTGGATATATGCCTAGGAGTGGAATTGCTGGGTAACTCTGTTTAACTTTTAGGAGCGGCTGAACTGTCTTCCACAGCAGCCACACCATTTTGAATTCTCACCAGCAATGCAGGAGAGTTCCCATTTCTCAGAATCCTCACCAACACTTTTAAGTGTCCGTTTTTCTGATAATAGCCATCCTAGTGGGCGTGAGGATCATGTGGTTCTTTTCCTTTATTCTGTTAGTGTGGTGTATTGCACTGATTTTCTTAGGTTGAACCACCCTTGCATTCCTGGGATAGATCCCACTTGGTCAGGATGTATACCCTCTGTATATGCTGTTGGGTTCCATTTGTGTTTTACTAATTGTGATAAATTTGCATACCCTCTATAACTAATGCCCCATCTGTATAGAACATTTCCTTTACTCCAGAACGTTCTGTCTTGATTCCTTTCTGTTCAATCCCCACCCCCACACAGGCAGCCACTGTTACAATTTCTATTACCATAGGTTAGTTTTGTCTGTTGTGAACTTCATGTAAATGGAGACAAACATACAGTTTTAACCTTTTGTGTCTGGCTACTTTGGCTCAGTGTATGCTTTTGAGAGTCATACATGTACCAGTAGTTGGCTTCCCTTTTATTGCTGCGTAGTGTTCCGCTCTGAGGGTGCACTTACAAGAATATAGTGTCTTCTAACATTTTAATGTCGATAATAGTTATAGTGATATTCCCTCTTTCATTCCTGATATTGATAATTTTTGTTGTCTTTTCCTTGATCAAGTCTTGCCATAGTTTATTATTTTAAAGAACTAACTTTTGGCTTTGTTGATTCTGTTTTCCATTTCGTTAATTTTTTGCTCTTAATCCTTATTATTTCTTTATTTTGGGCTAAATATGCTTTTCTTTTTTTCTCTTATGATGG